GTGGGGGGGTTCTGTGTGATGTATGGGGTGTGTTTGGGGTTCTGTGTGTGTGGGGGGGGTTCTGTGTGATGTATGGGGTGTGTTTGGGGTTCTGTGTGTGTGTGGGGTTCTGTGTGATGTATGGGGTGTGTTTGGGGTTCTGTGTGTGTGTGTGGGGTTCTGTGTGATGTATGGGGTGTGTTTGGGGTTCTGTGTGATGTATGGGGTGTGTTTGGGGTTCTGGGTGTGTGGCCACCCCAGCTCAGGGCTGTGCCAGGGCTTCCCACGGGCACAGGGGGCTCTGTGGCAGCTCTCCAGCCGCCTCCCAAGAGATTCCGCGTGCGCGCAGAGACTTCGTTTCGTATTTTATTGAATTTCATTTATATTAAATTAAAAATATATTTCTGACAGATTCATGTAACAAAAAGGCAGAACAGTTTTCAAATTGTTCAGCTGGGATGAGCGTGGGTTGATGCAAGGTGGGTCGCAGTCTACATTTGCCTTAACAAACAGATAAAGCTCTACCCCAAGGACCATGAGGAGAAACTCCGGGCTGCACACGGGAGTGGGGAATAGAACCACACAAAGAGAAGATCCACAGGTTTCTTCCCAGCTTCCAAACAAGACAAAAGGGAAGGGAAAGGGAAAAAAAAAAAAAAGAAAAACAAACAAAAAAAAGAAAAACCCCGAGAAACCGTGAAAAGAAGGGAAATTATGCTAAAATATGTACCTAATATTAACCCAGGTCAGTAAGTATTTTAACAGTGTATAATTCTCAACAGCTAAAATATGAGAAACGAAAGGTTAAAGTAACATTACGCCACACACGATTGGCATACCCTACTGTGTAAGCAAGTGCAGAAAGTCTGAACACACCACAACAGTGCTAAAACACGGAATCACACAGAATGCTGAAAATGGTACTTCTAACCAAAACCAGAGGGTGGGAAGGAAGAGAAAGGAAAGGGGAGGAGGAGTGGCTGAAATCACAAGCAAATTACCTATATACAAATCAACCCTAAGGACAATTATGTTCCAAACAATGGTGTCCACAAGGAAAATAAAAGCAACATTATCCTTATTTACAAATGCAACTAGCTGTGTCTTTAACAAGCTATAAAAATACTATTCACATTTTCAAAGTAACATACAGTAGGTATTGAATTTCTTTTTATTTTTGTTTCAGAAAGGCAGCTAACTCTGAATGCATCGCTTCGCAAGAAATGAGTGTCTTCCCCAACATGCTGACACTTCTCTTCTTCTGAAGGTACTTCATAAGGCAGAAGTATTGTTGTTTTATGTTGTGGCTCTTTCAGAATGCTGAGGATTGACAGAAACCCAGGCCACCCCATCTGTGCTGCTGGTTCTGTGATCAGGAGTCACCGGGAGCTCGGTGCTATCCCAGTGTCACCTGCCAGGTGGGGGTCTGTGATTCCAAGGGGACAGTAATGTCATACCCCAGGCCTGAATCTGAGCCTCATCTGAAAAGTCAGTGGTTCAAGACCACCAGGTCAGGAAATACAATTTGGCTATCTCTGTTCTTAGAAAGAGACTTCTTTTTCCCCTCAGTTTCCCTTCCCTATACAAGGACTGACACCTATTTAGCAATTCCAGCTTACAGTACTGGGGAAGCAGCAAAAACTGGGCAAAAGAAGGGATTAAAAACCATTGTGAGTAATGTATAGAATGGGTACCAATTTCCATCTTTAAAACGCTATAAAAAATTACCAGTTTTCTCATCCACCTGCATTTTCCTCTTGCATTACCCCACCATAAGTACCCCCACAAGCAGCCAGTGCCTAGCTCCCATCCCATGTCCAGGGGAACAGTGATTTCATGCATTCAAAGTTAGCTACCCCCTACACAGCTGCTCAGTTAATAATCGACCCATTTAACAGCAGGACCAGTTTATGCTACATATGTCAGAGTACCTTACCTCGAAAGAACGGCATACATATCTACACTTAGAAAATACCACTCACAGTTCCCTACTGTGGTTATCCCAAAAGGGTTTAGTCTTCAGAGTACTACGGACAATACAGTGTTTCCCCCCAAGGAGAGCTCAAGGGTGGGGCTGGGTGGGCCAAGCTGCTGGCAAACGGCGCTGGGTGGCAGCCCGTGGCTCCGTGTACCTGTGGCCCTGGTCACACCTGAGCCAGCAGCCTGGGGGTGCTGGGCAGGGTTCACCTTCACCCCAGAGGGTTCATCCACAACAGCACTGGAGCGTGATTTCATGGCTTTTTTTATTGGTGAGGGGAGAGGAACCGGGATATAACTACTCACACTGCCTAACGCCTTACGAAACTCCCCTTAAAACCTCTCTCTGCCAAGGTCCACAAAGCTCACTTCTAAAATTAAATAATAGAGAAGGAAAAAAGAAAGCCAGCTTTGACACCTCTTCTTTTCTATTGGGATGTCCTTGGGCTTCCCCTCTCACACCTTTTCCTGTATTGCTGCCACAGACCCCAGCTGCAGGATGCCCTGGGCATCAGGTGTCCCTCTGGCTCTGGTTAGGAGATGAGACTGGCTGCAGCTCAAGCCCCACTGAGTCCCACCACCATCAGTCAGACCTGAACCCCCACAAAGTTCCCTAAAAAGTGCTCTGGACAATCAGACTTACAGGGAGATCCCTGCGGCAGCAGCGCCGACAGCCTCACCTGCCGGTGATTTCCTCAGGAGCAAGGAGCCTACCATCGAAACAAACCACTGTTCCACACAGTGGTAAAATAAAATTGTGCTAAAATCACATTAAAACTAACCTGGAGACATGATTTTTTGACATCTTAGAGTGGTGCTTCTAACTGCATGGCTGTATTTGTTTCTAGCCATTTCTAACAGTGACCTTTTCCACCTTTATAATGAAATGCTTAGCAACAGGTAGAAAATAAAAAAGAGGGAATCCTGCACATACAGCCAGCCACCCTACCCCACCCAGCCCTGGCTTTCTGGAAAACAATCTGAGCCCAAATCCAAGATTTTTACATAACCACAGACAAGCTGTTTTGTCAGCATCAGAGGCTGGAGATTCCCAAGAGTGAGACTATAGCAAGTGGCAGCTGGAAATGAGCAGGTGCAGAGACTTCATGTGCCACCAGCTTTTGAAAAAGCCTTGCCAAAGGGAAATCGAGGTGACACTGTCCCCTCTGAGGTGCCCTCTAAAAGACTGAAAACTGCAGGCCTGGCTCCCATAGTTCTAAAGGCTCAGCTTCACCAGTCACCCTCAAGCCAGACATCCTTCCAAGCACGTAAACACCTCTTGGAGTGCCATAGCTCTGAAATGCACTCGGGGAACCAGGGTGGGGGCCCTGAGACACCAGCTGTGCAGGGTGAGGGGAGCAGGCAACCCTGACTCGTGGGCACCTCTGGTGCTTCCATTCTTTCCTTCCTCCTCCTCCTCCTCCTGCACTCTGGAGTGGGACCGTCCCCGTGTGACTCTGTGGGTGCTGCAGTGGCTGCTGCTCCTTTGGTAAGGACGTGCCTGCCCAGGGTTCCTGGGCTGCCAGGGAAGCACAGCTCAGGGGATGCCTCCAGCTATCCTGGGGAATTACCAAAAATGACCGAAAAAGTGACCAAAAGCCTGATTCTGCTGTGTGCCAGTCTCCTCATCTCCCAGATGGAACAAAGGAGATCAGACTATCCCATCATTCCGCTGGCTGCCACCATCATGTGCAACACCTACGTAGACATGTCTAATAGACAAAAAAAAAGGTTTTTTTCTTTAATATCTGATTTTCCATCCCCAAAACCAAGCTGTATTTCTAGGCTTACTCACCTCACAACTCATTCTTCTCCCCTGTGCTGCCCACCTCTACCTAAAGCTATGGAAAGACTGGATCCACAGAGTCATTCATGGCTGAGCTGCTCTTCCAGAGCTGCCACTTTCCTTCCTTTTGGGCTGGCATTGGTGGTGGCTGAGGGTGAGATCTTTAGTGGAAACAGGTGTCAGATCATTGCATATGAATCTTCCAGTCAAGAAGCACTTTTTCTACCAAGTAAATGTTACATCCAGGGGTAATACAGCATTTCTTTGTATACAGGAAAGGATTTCAGTGTACCTGAAACAGATATATGTGGTGGCTCCTATTGCAGATTTATTTCCATCTCTTGCTACCTGAGAGAGATGACCTGTTTGAAATGTAGTTGTAAATATTCTGCTACATCTGAGCTAAGGGCCATGTAAAAATCCCTCCTGGCTGTTTCGCAGAAAAAGAAAAATCTGAAAAGATCTGAAGAAGTAAATGTAAAAGTAGTTGGTTCCAGCCAGTTGTGTTACAGTGAGTCAATTGGCCCCAGCATCTGTTTGCAGTAACCCTCAGGTAAGTAAAAACTAGTAATAAGCTAGGATAAGTTCCTTTGGCACGTTGCTTTGTGCCTTGGACAATGGCTGATCCACGCTTGGGCAAAAATGTGCTCTTGAAAATCTGGTCACTGTTGGTCTCCCAGGCCGTGACAGGGGGAAGAAGAACATTTACAAACAGGAGACTGCACTCCAAAACCCACAAATCCTAAGTTTGTGCTGTGTACAGATACTTCAGTAGCACTGGAGAGTGAATCACACCCAAAATACTTCTGCTGACATGCTCACTTGCTGCTTTGTGCTGACAAAATGCAGTTTGTGTGTGGATATTCGTGCTTTGCCCCCAAACCTGCCATTATGCCCTAAAGAGCTTGACCCTCCTCTTTCATCCCATATGAATCCCAGTTGAGTGCTTGCCATAATCTTGCCATGTGCACTTGCCCAAGTTCTTTCAGCAAGCCAGCAGCAATACCCAGTAAGGCAAAGACACGAGTTAGGGATGGCCAGGTGTTTCTGTGATCAGATTAAAGCAGCCAAACAGTTCTTCTCTCAGTTTCCCTTTCTTGTTTTCTTTAGCTGTGATTAAACTCCCTGTTAAGAGGCAAAAGCTGCCAGCTAAGTTCTCTTCCAGAGGAAAGGGGCAGGGTTCAGGTAAGTGCTGCCCTCGGGGCTGGTTCACCAGCAGCCTCAGGTGAGGCAAGATCTCCAACACAGGCCCTGTGTGAACAGATGTGTGAACATCTGCTGGGCAAGGGGCAGTGACTGGCACGGCACAGCACCCATGGGCCAGTTTTGGCAACTGCAACTCAAACCAGCAGCTCAGAAAATCATAAAAAATATTGAATTGTGAAGCTGCAGCGTGCAGAGTTCTCCCTCATCCCAAATCACTGTGTTCATTAAACCTCTGCCTGTCCTCTGCTCTCCCAGACCCCACTAGCATGGCTCTGCATGGCTCATGCTGGCTGCCAGGCAGAGCCCAAGCTCCTGTTCCAGCTTTCCTGCTGCCCCACTTGCAGGAACCTCTGCGTTTCCATGCTACTTAATACATTATAGCACACCCACAGCCAGCAAATAAAATTAATAAATAATTCAAGCCTTGTAAGAAATAAAATGTTAGACTGTTAAACCCCGCCAGTATTTACATTTGGATTACTCCATGGGCTTGTCTCTAACATGAACACTACATTACCAGAGGAACAAACAGGCCTCACCTTGTGTGAGCAGCTCCATCCCCAGCCAGTGCCAGGCTCTGCCCCAGCAGCCTCCGAGCTCATCTCTGAATTCAAACATGTCAGCTGCACCAGCGTTTTATTTTATATTTATTCTCCATTAGGAGTTACTCTGTGTTCTTGTTCAGGGACAAATCAACCTTTCTCCACCTACCTATGGAACTGCAGGCAGCTGCTGTGCTGAAAAGAGGACACCCACATTCCTGTGCTGGTCTCTGCCCCCACGCAGCATCGTGTCAGCCTGGCAGACCTTGTCTGTGCACAGGTGACACCCTGTGAGCGCTGCTGTGGGCAGCAAACCTCCCCTGGAGCAGCCACCCAGGGCCTCATGGCAGCCTCTGTGCCCAGCTCCTGCCCAGTGGGTGCCCCTGTCTCTCCAAGATGCTGAGGAGCTACCAGAGGCACCAGAGAGGCCCCTGAGTACGGGATTGTACCCATGACAGTGGTTTGCTGGCCTTTTGGCTGTATCACCACAAACCACCTTGGTACCAGTTGACCCAAGATCTCCTTTCCACAGCTCAAAGATCTGTACCTGTTCTTGCTGCTTTCAGAACCTTCAGCTATGTACTTGGTGAACACCTGGTTGTAGCTGGCCTGGACACACCTGGTGCACAAAAAGCTCACTTGTGATCACACACAGTTTGTTCTCCATCTACAATGGCAACAACAAACCCAGCTTTAACATCTCTTCACACCTTTGTCAAGCCTCAGCCACTAAGCTTCAGACAACTATTGCTCGTTTCTTACTCCCTTCCTCTGCTTCCCTAAGGTTAAAGGTGGCAAGCTGTTGGAATGGCAGGAATTTAGAGGAGGGTGATGCCATTCCAGCTGCTGGTTTTGTTGCCAGGTTAGGCCATCCCAAAGATCTCAGCCCTAGCAGAGCTGAAGTGCACAAACTGAAATACTGTTGCATCACCCAAGGTTGCCATCCACCAGGTATTGTTTCTTCCCTTTAAAAGCCTTGATGGATAGAGACAGGTAGATCTCCAAAGGTACCTAATAGTTCCTTAAGACGTGTGGTGGGAAGTAGGCTCACAAACGCTCTCACACGCACGGTCTTGGTGTGCCAGGAGCAAGCCTTGGTGTCTCCGGCCCTTACGCCTCCTTTCCCAGCTCCATCTGCCCCAGATCACTAAAAACGTCCAGAACTCTGGTTTGAAAGTGATTTCCAAAGAAGAGCAGGTCAGGGGGTGTCTACCTAAAAACTGAGGTTGATAAAAGCAGAACTAAGTGCAAGGAGACTGACTCATACTTATTTACATTTTCGACAGAAAGCTCTGCAAATCATGCACATTTTGACTTCTCAAACCTCATATGCACTGTCTTCTGTGCCAGAGTAATCCTCCTTTTAGAAAAATGGTATTCTGTACCGTACTGCAAGGCAGAGCAGGACATTTGCCTTCCCTGATCCTTTCAGGGTTTGCTCTGCTGTCCTACATAAAGCAGCAGGAAGAGCTGGCTGCTCCATCACTGTATTCTCTGAAGCAGTCACTGCATCGGCCTCTCAGAAGTGGCAGACATTGTTCCAAAGACTTGATTTGCTTCATTTTGGCATTTCCACAGTCATCCTTTACAAATAATTTATATTTCTTTTTAAATTTAAAATTATTATTTTGTATTTTGCTGGTCACTTCCATATTGCTTCATTCAAAATCCAGAAAACAGTTCAAATAAAATCAGAGGTTAAGTGCAAACTAACTTTCCAGTGAACCACTATGTGCATTTTTTTCCAGTCCAGTGTCTGTCTTCCAGTTTAAAGGACTCTTCCCACCCCACCCCACAGAACATCAAACTCTTCAGTTCTTTGTCTTGTCCTCAGTGTTGCCTGACAGCATCCCCAGCTCCCTTCATGACCATGAAGAAGAAAAAGAGGGAAGAATTAGTGACAATCTTTTGAAGTGTTTACAGTCAGCAGGTAAAAAACAGGAAAGCAAAGCTTTTGGCATACAAATCTTCATTTCTTGGCCTGTTTTTTAGCTTCAAAAGGAACATATTGGAGGTGTGGTTTTGTTGCTCTCTTCTGAAAGGTATTTTGTGTTTAAAGTGTTTGTTCTGTTGGCACACATACAAAAATGGTCATGTCAGGTACCAGTTCTGAGTAGGAGTCTCTGTGGCTGGGAATTGGCACAAAATCATGGTGTGGCTCAGAATAAGGGTTTAGTATGTGGGAGTCACATTATCATTTCTTGGAAAGCCACAATGAAGATCTGAATGTTTTTGAAAAGCTATGTTAGCCATTTTCAGTTGCTGGGATAGAAAGTGTTAGAGAAAGAAATTGGATTCTCAATCTCAATTACTACGCTATCGCACGGGATATAAAAATTGTCCATTTTTCACCCTGATGGAAATTGCATGGAGATTTCCAGGAATGCTGTACAGACTCTCATCAGTTCCTGCTGAAAGAATCAGCCTTCCTGTGGCTTTCCCTACAGTGTCTGGTTGAATCACTGAGAACGAGCTCCACAGCAGCACTGCCGCTGGCCTCTCCTGCTACCACCTGGCTCCTCTGGGCCTCTGCTGAAGGTGGGAAAGGCCAGGTCAGTCAAAAATCCTTCTTCCAGTCTCTTTCCTTCCTTCCAGGTGCCCAACCCAATCTGCAACCAACTCCAAGACATCCTTTCACTTAGAAATATCAAAAATGAGTGAACTGGCAAGAAGAGGAAGCTCATGGGAGAAAGAGAGGGAGGAAGGGAGGGAGGGAAGAAAGACGGGCAAGGGCAGGGAGGAAGGGGGAGCGAGAGAGTGAGGCAGCTAGAAGGGGTTGCCTTTCCACTTCAGTGAGAGCACAGCCACTACACCACGGTATTCCGGTGTCTGTAGGGCGGCGGGGGCAGCACAGTGCCAGGCTTCAGGGAGAACTCGGAGAGGTATTCAGGATTCTCTGCCACTATGGGCCGGATCCGTCCGTTCTGTTTGTAAAAGTATTTTGTGCTGTACTCTTGCAGGTAGTCCGGGTGCTGGAGGGTGCTCCGTGGGGGCAGGCTGTGGTTCCAGTAGTCTGGGTTGTCAAAGGCCTTCTTGGCTTTCTCTGGCAAATTGTTCTTCAGGTACTCGGCGTTTTCCAAGGTGTTGGCGAAGGTGTTGAGGTACAAGGGCTCGTTCACGTACTCATCCTCTGCTTTGGGCTGCCCGTTGGGAGCGTTGTGGTACTCTGGGTTGTCCACAGCTTGGAGATCTCCGTTCTTTCGTCGGGAAACAAAGGGGTTCTCTTCCACTGGGTTCAGGTAATCTATAGAAAGATGAAAAATGCGTCAGCCAAGAGCGGTAGTAATCCATCCATGCAGCATCCGTGACCAGAAGCAGCCCTTGGACTAGAGCAGCCTCCACCTCAGCCTTTCCAAGAGCTCCAGATGGGATCAGGAGCCAGCTGTGCTGAACACACACCAGTGAAAAATGAAGTATTTACAAGCTAAACAGACAATATGGGTTAAAACAGATACCTCTGAAGACTGACTGATCAAACACACTGGCCAGCTAAACCACAGCTCTTGCTGAGCCATAGCCCATGTGGCTCCCCTGCTCTCCCTCCTCTCACGGTGTGATCTACAGAGCCAAACACACCCACTGACTTCTGCCTCTGCCGCCTCGGACCTATTAGCAAACCCTCTGCTCTGTACTCCTTCCATCCAGAAAACTCTACAGGAATCTCACTTAAGCCTCTCTGCACAAAGCCTATCCCCAAGGGCTGACTTTTAAGACAGCTTCATTTCTAACAGAGCAATTTGCCTGATTAAAAACCTTCCATCCCTGAAGGACAAAGGGCTTTTGTCCAAGAATTATGAGAAAAAAGTTATACAAATGAGCCCTGGAAAGAGAACAAGAGAGCCTTAGATCAGCTGCAAAACAGGACTTGGAGCAGGTTAGAGTTGCCTCAGATCACTTGCTGTGGATTAACACCCCATTTCCAGAGGCAGGGCGCTGCTCAAGGGCTCTGCACACACCTCCCCGGAGAGTCCTGCTGCAAGGGATCATCTGCTTTCCTCCAGAATGGGGCCAAAACTATTAAAAGCAAAAGTTTGAGTCCCAGTGAACACCTTTGAACTGTCACTGGATCTGAGCTGAACAGTGGGAACATTTTTTCCCATTTTGCAGTGCTTTGATTTGAACCCCGCAGCTGTGTGGCCAGACTGTGACAACCCTGTGTCTGTGCCCAGGGGCTCAGGAAGGAGCTGCTTTCTCCTGAGCTGCCACTGCCACATCCCCGAGGGCTCAGGTGGCTCCTGCAGAGCTCTGAGGACTCCCAGGGCACACCTGTAACATGTGGGCTCACACTGAGAGGAAATCACTACTAAAAGGGAGAATCCCACAACTGCAGCTGCTGTGGGTCAAGCCCCAGGGCTCCCTCCATCCCTCCATCATGAAAGACAAAGTGGCCTCCAAATTCTTAGCAAACACAGTTGTGATTTGTCATTTACACTGCATTTATTAATTTCTTTAGAGCTAATGCAAAGCTTTGGAAGCAAATTAATAATGACACGTCCCCTTACATCTAAATGACTGCTATCATTATTTAAAGAGGAAGAAATGAATGAGGGCAAACTGGGAAGTGCAGCGTGCTGAGCTGGCACAGATTTAGACAGTCTTCCCCTTGTAGTGATGCTCTCTTTAAAGCACATCTTGTTCTTTCAATCCTAGACTTCTCTTGGGTATCAAATGCCAGCTGTGTGTATCAGTTCTGTGGTAGGTTCAACATGACATTTACCAAGCAAAGTGCCAAGAATAAGAAGATCAATAAACAAAGCAAAGTTAGGACTATGGCTGGCTGAAGATAGATCCCTTCCTTGGAAATAACTGAAGATTTGTGTTTGGGTAAGAAGTGGGCTTGGCTTTTTTTCATTCCTCTTGTTATTTCTCAAAAAAAAAAAAAAGTAAAAGGGGGACTTACCAACTTTGACATACATTTGAGCATTTCAAAGTAGAAAATTAAGGAGAGAAAACCAAATCCCCGCGTAAAGGAATATTAATCTAGTCAGAATGCTTCAACCTTGATGGGTAACTAAATAAAGCCATTTTTGATGAAAAGCTGCTGATGTACAAAGAGAATAAATCCAGCCAGGCTAGAGCAGGAGCCTCTGTGGAAAGCCAATATTTTACCTGTTTTAGGTTTGTCTCTCATCGGTGTCATGTACCCATCCTCATCCAGCTCTCCCCGCACGACCCGCTCGGGAATGAAGACGGTGGGGTCGGCGCTGTACCTCTGGGTGCTGCTGTCCTCTTTTGCCAGGGTTGCCACCTGTTTCTGCATCGTGCCATTGCAGCAAGTGTCTTCAAAGATCTCTGCTGTGGCCCCTTGAGCGGCTGGGGCCTCTGGAATGATGCAGCCTGGAGCCCTGTACGGCATCGGCACCTCGGCAGCGTAGCCACCATCCCGGTACACAAACTGGTTCTGTAGGCAGAGAGAGAGCACAGCTCAGTGGGAAAGGAGGCTGCCAAGGGGAGAAGCTTCAGCAGAAAGCCATGCCTGTGCCTCCTGTGCCTGCCCTGCCCATCCTGTGCCTCCAGGCTTTGCTGTGGACCCGTGGAGCATCTGTCTGCACAGTGGGGATGGAAGTGGGGCAGGAAAACTTGTTTCCTACCAGGCACGTGGAGGCTGGACAGACACAGCTGCAAGAGGGGAAGGTGGTGTTTCTTTTATTACTCTGGGAACCTCCCCTGATTGTTGATTAAAGCCCTTTAATCCTCATGTTTGGGAAATCTCCTCCTGATGGGGGATAATCATCTCTGTTTATTCCTGGGTGATACTTTTAGTGTGTCCTGTGGTGAGAATCATGGGGTCACCATGTGCAATTCTATCAGGAATTTCAGGCTGCTGACCTGGGTTTGTGTTGGCACCTAAATTCAATGGTTCAACAAAACCTACCATTTTGCTTGCCAGCACGGGCATGCAAAGGACTTTCAACATCCTGAGCTATAGATAGGAAGGAAATATGTACAGATTCATCCAAGCCTTTTACCTAAATGCTTTTCAAGAAAAGTCATCAGAGTTTTGGGTGTGGATCCCTAGAGTTTGCACACAAATCCAGGCTGAGTCTGGAGATCTTAACTGTTTGATTCCTTATGTATACACTTCATTAGCTGTTGGCTTTTGGGTCATTTATGAAAGAAAAAGGAGTTGGAAAAAGATAAAAATGTAGTGAAGAAAGGAGGAAAGCCTGAAGGATGAAGGCTGAATGTGAAATACTTACTCCTGACATAGGGGTGTAGGCAGGAGGGCTGTGTCCAATTTCACTCTAATAGAAAGAAAAATGGGTGATGGATACATAACAGGAAGCCACATGAATGAAACAAGTCACATGAGCTGTGTGAGCTAATTGAAACACACACATCAGTCAGATTTCCTAACCTGAGCCAAAATTCAAATTCAGTCAGGGCAAATGCCCCACCCCCAAAAACAAGCTGTGTCTCACCAGTGTTAGACAGAGCCACTGATCCCACCTGGGCTCACGGCGAGGGAAGGCCATAAAAGAAGATGGAACATAAGACACTTCACCAGATGTTACTTTTTAAAAGGGAACAGACACCAGCAGCACTGAATATAGACTTTGCAAGTTACTTGTGCAAGAGGATTATTTTGGACAGTTGGGAAGGCCTGTTGAATCAGGGAACACCTTGAAAACTGGAGCTGCTGTGATTACCTCCAAACCCCTCCAGATTTACTTGTAATGACACACGGGCAATGACAGGCTACAGTGCAGAATGTGTTAGACAAATGGATAAAAAAAATCTCCTGAGCCTGGCAGATGCTACTTTAAAGCCCTCCTGATGGCTCTGAGACACTGCACTGTTGCTTTTTTCTCAACCTGGAAATGAAACTCGAGGTAATTTTAAAAAGGAGGTCATATAACAGAGGATCTTTATTTGAAGGCCTTCAGTGGAAGTTATGAAAGATGTCCACAAAAGCCACACTGGGATGCATCACACCCCTTTCATTTACATCTCCCTGTTTCCACACAGGGAACTTCCAAGGTTGGTTCACTGATTCTGGATGAAAAAGGGCAGAGCTGTCTTTGAAGTCCTTTCAGTTCACTTCTGTCACTGATGTCTTGATGACAACATAGAAAAGTGTCTTTTACTGATAGGCTTGACTTCTGCACACAGGGCTATATCCCTCTGCCAGTAAAAGTTTAGAAGATCAGCAGCTTAAAAAAATACTAGGATGGCCACATTATTGTGTCTGTGGGCGGTGCTCCATCCTCAGCACAAAAGGCTAAACCTGCCACCCTATCTTTAGGTCCTCTTGGCTGTGAGGATAATATTTAAATCCATACTCTGCAACTATAACAACCCAGCAACAGGCCCTGTTAGCACAGCCCTGTCCAGGATGTCAGGGGACAATGGACTGCCATTGATGTGTTTGTTGCTATTTTTGCTGACAAGAGCCTCTCCAGTCAGTGGCCTGCCAGCTAAGATCACCATAATTGTGTTTTTTCATGCCTCCCCTTTAGTGCTGTACTAAACACATCTGTCTTGCAACAGCCCTTACTGCAGAACCTTGCACGTGGCTCTTCCCCAACACTGCTGCCTGCACATTTTTTACTTCTTTACTGTTTTTCCCCATGAGCTGATACCCTGTGGCCACTGCTCCATTAAAACAGGAGGCAAAGGAAAAAGCTGTGGTGCCATTTAGCTGGCTTGAAAATTTAATACAATGGTTTAAGTGTCCCTAAATGGACTGGCAATTGCAATGTGAGGTCATAATTTTGCAGGGTTCCAAGATTACCCTCAGACAACTCTTATTGGTCAGGACATGAATCACACTGTGAGAAGGAAATATATTTGGATTTTACCAGGTGAAACATAAATATCTTGTTCTGTATGTGAAATCCAATTTACTTTGTTGATTTTTGGCGGGGGAGGAGTTGTTGTTTTTGCATTTAAAATACTACCTTGAAAAAAAAAAAGGTATTTCCTTTACTGAAAAGCTCTAGTATTTTGTATTTCTGATCCTAAAAGACTCACCAGAATTATCATCTCTGTCTTTTTGAGATAGACAGAGACCTTAGTGGCTGGTTGCTCAAAGACCTCACTGCATAAGCCTACTTAAGAAAGCTCAGCTTGTACACTAAAAAAAAAATAAAAAATAAATAAATGTATACTGGCTCCCTTTTGATGGTTTAATGTGTGTTATATCCATTAACATCCATTGACAGAGGAACTCATCACACTTCAGAAGGAGCCTCACTTTTTTAACTGCCCACAAGCAGCCCTCCTCAGAAATGCCCAAGATTTCATCCTGTACACCACATGACTGAATTTTAGCCAAAAACATGACAGAGCAGAGAAATGCCAGTGACACATCAGCTGTTATATCAGCCAATGTTTGTATAAAATGAGCCCCGATCAAGGAGTGATAAATAACATTTCTGTGAATATTGGCTTGTGTTATTGCTTTCTATTCATTAATTTCATTTTCCAATTCCTTGCCTCTAAAATCTCCTAAAGGTAAATATCTCCTCCTTTATAGCAGGGACATAATATTTTCTGGCTGCATCTTAAACTGTAATGAAATCAAAGCCTTATTGTGTCCAGGTCCCTTCCACTGCAGAGCTGGTTTTCCTGGCCACCCACAGAAATGTTGATAGGGTTGCACAATCATTGTTGTTTCTTGCTCTTAAACTCACAGGACTGAAAGACTTTTCTCTGCTAAAGGCATGCATTTTCCAGCATGAATGTACACACATGTTTGAAGCCACTCTGATACTGCCCAAAGTGCATAAAACCCAGCTCCTTCCTCCTCTCCTTCTGCTCTCCTACACGAAAAGTACCAAGCACAGGAGTAAAACACTCCAGCCTTCCCACTGGGATGCTGCTCCCCAGTCCTGTTCAGAGGAATCCTGTGCTCCATGCCTCAGGCACTCAGTGCTCACCTGCTTGGAGAAACACCTCTTTGTACTGTTCATCCTGTGTGCTCCCAGAAACAACTCACTCTCCTCCTCCCCCTGGAAACTCTTCACCTCATTTCAAACCAAGGGAGTGCCCAGCTCCAGTCACCAAACCAAGGCATTGTGATATGTGAGACCTTGCTGCGAGCACCAAAATTTCAGCAGCTCTCCAGGAAGGGAGGCTGATTTATGGGAGTGGATCTGGATAATGTTTTGGGATGGTCTGGTGGGGCTGCAGGCAGAGCACACAGTGCAGCATCCCCCCAGCCCCTGAGCAAACTCCAGCTACATTCCAAGGGAGCAGCCTGGCATTTACAGCTGATCCAAACTGAAATTCAAATAGGAAAGACCATTCCAGGAGAACAGCCACCTCAGCTTGGCTGCAGTGCTGCTTCCAGAGAATTTGCAGATTACTCTGCCCTGCTCCAGACAGGAAACATTTCTGAGATGAAAATCAGAGGAAAATACACACACCATGAGATCACTGGGTGATGTTAAATAGAAATGGAATGTTGTTGTTATAGTAATTGCTAGAAGGTTTTGCAGACCTCTAGGGATTTCTGATCCCAGTCTCTGCTCAGAGAAGGATCCTATATAAAAAGAAAGGATTAAACACCTGCCTGGGATGTTAAGGTTCAAGCATACCCATCCCTACAGCTCACAGCACCTGACACAAGTCTGGCATTCCTTGGCCATAAGGCTGGGAATCAGGGAATCTTTATGGGAAATGATTCCAGCCCCTTTTCCAGCAGAACCTTTTCTCAGAGTGTGTCACATGTTTTAACTTAAATGTTGATTACAAGTATAGAAACAATATAGGCATCAGTCTGAATCAAGTGCTTGCTCCAGTCTCCAACAACTGCTCCTTCTACAGTCGAGACACAAAACATCCAGCTTAGATCAGCAAGGGGAAAAAAAATAAATAAAAGAAACGAAGATTAAGTATTTTTCTTCCCCTAAGCTTTTTCTGGTTGGTGTTTGCCAGAGGACAGGACAGAGCTCTAACTTAGCTCCCATGGATTTTCCTGTGTCAGCTGGATATGCCAGCCCATATCCTGGCAGAATGGTGGATTGCAGACATCCCTGAACCTGTCCAAAGTCAGTGTGGATGTTTCAGTGCCCCCCTAGGTTCAGGTCAGCCCTGACCAACTTCTTAGCTTCAGATATGTCATCACCACTTTCTCTTGCATAATTTTGTCTCATAACATCTGTGTGTTTTCATACCTGCTAACTCTTTTAGAGCAGTCCATATGGTAGGGAAACCCAAACTGCCTTCTAGGAGTAATTTAGTCTGGACTGTGAACAGGAAATGGCATTTATCAAAAACAAAATCTTGGCATAGTGGTATGGGAAACATACCTATACACAGCACAGAGTGTGTCCTGTGCTGTTACTGGAAAATACCAGATATAAACCATTTATTTTCAGTCTAACCCTTCAAGTAGAGAAGCCAAAGATGACTACACTGCCAATGAAAGTAATCTCTTAAGAGATGCACAATCTGGGCACAAAACTCGGTATCCAGCTACCCTGACTGGAAAAGGTGGGTGAAATGCTTTTCTGTAGCCTCATCTCTTTGAGCCTGATACCTGGGCTGGAAATAAAAGCATTCTCCAGCTGTATGGCACCAAAGGCTTGGAAACCCACCTGTTCTCTGGACTTCAGAAACCAGCATCCTTCCTTCAGAGGGGCTGGCAAGCAGATTTCAGCTGGCACAAAATGCACTTTGATCTGGGCATGACACAGGAATGGAGACACAAGGATTCCCTTCGCCTTTTACTTTGTGTTAATGCACCTGAGTGTCAGAGGGCAGAGCAGGAAGAGAGACTGCTGGCATTGCCTGTCTTTTCCTTTCAATCTCCTCGACTCCCCCATCCTTCCTGTCACCCACAGCTAGCTTTCTGTCACTCTCCTTTTTAATACACTCACCAAGGCACTTTACAGTAAATGGCACCTTTTAACACTGAGCCAATTCCCCACAATTTGAAAGGGATGTGGTACCATTTCCCACCTGCCCTAGAATTCCCTGTGGGACAGAGGGGTCAGCACTGCTCCTGCTCCAAAACACAGGACCAGCAGCATCTCCTTTTCTGTACAAACCTCAAGCTTCAAATCCCAAAACAGGGAAAGGCTGGAGAACAGGACCAAAACCACAACACACCCATGATTTTTGATTGTGACATGGAAGACAAAAAAAAAAAAATAAATAAAAAAAGGCACAAAAGAAACTTGATGAGCGATCCTGGGAGGAGCAGCAGCCCCCTCCTATGTGCAGGCTGCACTGCCATCTTCCCCAGCCTGTTTTACACAGTAATCAAAGGATATTCTGAGCCTCTCAAAATGCCATC